TCATATGTATCAACGTTGTTAAAACTTCATATCGTCAACATTGTAACATACTTGTCATATCATGACTATCAGACTTGTTAGAACAACTTGTAGCAAGTCTGATAATGCCATCAACTTACACACGTAAAAATGCACAAGTTGTTACAGGTCTGCAAACAAGTTGTTACAAATCTGTTCACAAGTTGTGTTCGCACCGCTTGTTCCCAGTTGTTGTAACAAGTTTGGGACAAACTGTTAACAACTTGTAACAATGATATTTGTGGTGTTACTCTGAGTGTATATCCACACCGGGCGAGCTTGAAAAATATGGCCGGGCATATTTTTCAAGCTCGCCCGGTGTGGATATACACTCAGAGTAACACCACAAATATCATATTCACCTGAGTACACTACACCAACACAGAAAAAAAAAAAAAAACTTGTAACAAGCTTGATGGCACTATCAGACTTGTTGCAAGATTGTTCTCTAACAAGTCTGATACAGTCATGTTATAACAAAAATGTTACAAGGTGACGACACAAGGTTGTAACAATATTGTTATATCATGACTGCATCGGACTTGTTGGAACAACCTTGCAAAAGTCTGATAAAATCAACAAGGTTGTTACAAGTTGTTAACAGCTTGTTGACAACTTGGGACAAGCAGTGCAAACACAACTCGTTGACGACTTGTTGGCAGACTTGCTACAAGTTGTTTTCGCACTGCTTGTCACAAGTTGTCAACAAGTTTGGGACAAGCTGTTAACAATTTGTAACAACAAGTCTGATACAGTCATGATATAAGAATATTGCTACAACCTTGTCTCGTCAACCTTGTAACATTCTTGTTTATCATGATTGTATCAGACTTGTTAGAACAACCTTGTGACAAGTCTGATAATGCCATCAAGTTTGTTACAAGTTGTTAACAGCTTGATCCAAACTTGTTACAACAACTGGGAACAAGCAGTGCGAACACAACTTGTTGACAGCTTGTGAACATATTTGTAACAACTTCTTTGCGGACTTGTAAGAACTTGTGCGTTTTTACGTGTGTATTGCAGGTTGTTAATAGCTTGTAACAAGCTTGTTGATATTATCAGACTTGTAGCAAGATTGTTCTAACAAATCCGATGCAGTCATGATATTATCAGACTTGTACCAAGGTTGCAAATAAGTCCGATACAGTCATGATAAAACAATATTGTTACAACCTTGTATCGTAAACCTTGTAAAATTCTTGTAATACTGTTATTGTATCAGACTTGTTAGAACAATCTTGTAACAAGTTTGTCGATTTTATTAGACTTGTAAGCAAGGTTGTTCAAACAAGTCCGATAATGCCATCAAGCTTGTTACAAGTTGCTAACAGCTTGTAACAAGCTTATTGATATTACCAGACCTGTAGCAAGGTTGTTCGAACAAGTCCGATGCAGTCATCATATCTCAATGTTACAACCACGTGTCGTGAACCTTGTAACATTCTTGTTATATCATGACTGTATCAGACTTTTTAGAACAACCTCTCTTCTAATAATGTCATCAAGCTTGATACAAGTTGCTAACAGCGTCTAACAAGTTTGTCGATTTTATTAGACTTGTAAGCAAGGTTGTTCCAACAAGTCCGATGCAGTCATGATATTATCAGACCTGTATCAAGGTTGTGAATAGCCTGCGAACAGGCTCTCAAGCTGTATTGAGAGCCTGCATGGATGACTAATGAATTTGAATATCTGCGTCTCAAATCGTGACGCGAAATTCTCATTGGTCAGATGCTATAATTTATATTATTCCGCTGAGCTCTATATATGTCAACTGCTAAGCACTATGCATAAAAAACACATTAACTGATCAAATTGGTCTTGGCCATCTTATCTCAAAGCACGAAATGTTCTGTTTTGAGAAAACAGTATTTAAAACATTTAAATTTTTGCTTGAATATCTTATATTTCGAAAAACAGTATAAACTGTACAGTCTAAATTTAGTTTGCACGGTCTAAATTTAGTTTGCACGAAAGTTGTAAACAACACCATATAAGGATAGACATTCCATATTTGGACAAACGAACGTTACGGGGCAGATATTCAAATTCATTAGTCATCGATGCAGGCTCTCAATTCAGCTTGAGAGCCTGTTCGCAGGCTAATATTTAGGCAGTGATAAAGCATTCTCTATTAAAGATTTATTGGCAAAGTACCAGGGTTCGGTTACTAAAGGAAAATCTCTACTCCTTGACATTGAACGTGAACGAATATGGGCGAGGTCACTTATATTCTATAAGTCTAAATCCAAGGAGGAATTATTAAGACCTAATAATAATAATTTATTCAAATGCATGACCTAATTTACAGGTATTGCTAGAATATTCTATATATATATATATATATATATATATATATATATATATATATATATATATATATATATATATATATATATATATATATATATATATATTTAACAATTATTCGCCGAAGGCGAAGTGATTACCGGTGAATATTCACCGAGACGAAGTCGAGGTGAATATTCACCGTAATCACTGAGGCGAATAATTGTTTTAGTATAAATTTTTAATGAATAAAACAAAATATCCAAGTTATCCAACTATAAGTTTAATTAAAATTCAGAAATAAAACTGTTTTCGACCGGTTTACGGTTTAGTGTTGCAGTGTTTCTTGTACACGCACGCTTTCAAAATGGCTTCCTGTGCGACTTTATTGCTTTATTACAAAGTTATTTTTCTCGATTTCTGCTTAGAATATAAACACAATGATGGATGACTTTTTTACCAGACTTAGAATTAAAAAATAGTTTCTGTTTAGCATTAATTTGTTCAGGAAATGGCTGAGAAATTTGGTAAAATGAAATGTAAAACTATATCGTTCGAATTAATATAAAAGTTTTAATACATTTTTCACTTTACAAGTTTTAAAAACACAAATAGTACAATACAGCGAAAGGACACCATACAGCACAATGAAAATACGACATAGTCAAAAGAAATAGTATCGTACAAATTGAGATATTTATAGGATACAAAACAAAATTGTTTTAAAAAGAATATCACGGCTTTTCCCAAAAGTCGGGATATTTTTTGCTATTTGAGATTTACGTTTGAAGCGAATGTTTCGGAGTTTTAAATAAGTTTTAAATTGTCCGTGAATATGTTTGACACAGTAATATAATACTAAATCCTACCTTTCAAGTTAAATACAACATTTTGTGCTTTTTTTCTTTTTCTGGGACGACTTTTTCAATATTTTGTCGATTTTGAAACCAAATTTGCCGAATCA